CGGGAATCTCATCCGGGAAGACGTCGGCGTACTCGCAGGCGGTGTCGTATACGGGATTCGCTGACTCCCGCAAGGCCTCTCAGGACTGCGCTTGGAATCGTTCCCATCGAGCTGACTTAGGTTCAGCACCTAGCGGACGTAAACGTACGCTGTCCGGTGCGACCGCATTTGCTGACTCATCCACCGAGACTGCCTCGGTGACCAAGCATACTTGCTCGACGTCTCCAGCCTTGAGGTCCCGAAGAAAGGTCTTCCTGGACAAGCCTGGAAGGCGTGTGATCGCCGCCGTTTCGCGCGGCGGACTCGCTATTGCGATAGTGCGCGACCGATTCGGGCCTCCTTCCACGTACTCCAGCGCGCTGACCGATTCCATCGGCGGGCTATCGCTGATCGTGGCGTCTCGACGAGGTTTCAGGCGTCGTCTCTTCGAGTTTCTTCTTCGACTTCCTCGAGCTTACGCTCGAGTCTGACTCACTGCTACTCGACGATGCATCACCCTCCTCTAGGCGCGGGAGACCGTACTCGACCGGGCCGGGAACATGCGGGAGCCCCCTGCTCAACCGCGGCATCGTTTGACGGGAGCCCAATCTGCTCGACCGCCGAAATGTTCGGCGGGAACCTCTGCTCTACCGGCGTCTCGTTGTGTGGGAAGCCCTGCTCGACCACTGTCTCGTAGTGTGGGAGCCCCTGCTCGACCACCTTCTCATGCTGTGGGAGCCCCTGCTCGACCACCGTCTTGTACTGTGGGAGCCTCTGCTCGACCACTTTATTATCTACCTCGCACAACCGCGAGGGCTTTTCGTCCAACAACGTAGCACAAGCCATGCAGAGAGGGTCATCGCTCGCTCTGTGCACTGCCTGTGTCGATGCTGTTGTGTCCACGACTGTGACGTGGGGCCAGTCTCTTGGCGCCACCAAGAGGTGCGTGAAGACCTCGCTCACGTCGAATCCACGTCGACGCTTGACTGATTGGGCCAGCCAGTCAATCTCTGGCTGATATCGTGCAAGCCAAGGGATGCCCAGGATGCGGTCAAACGCGTAGCTCATCTCGATCACCAGAAAGTCGTCCTTGCTTCGGAAGCCGTCGAGCGTGTACGACAAGGACACGTCATGCCGCGCAACGCGGCGAGCCTTACCATCTGCGAGTTTGACTTGAATCTTGCCCGGACCATTCCGGACGCGGACGTTCTTGGGTAGTACCGACAAACACGACACACGAAAGAAGTTGTTGGTCGGTCCTGAGTCAAGGAGCGCGCGCAGTGGTCGCCGGGCACCGGTGACGTGGAGGCTGACGATGATCAGTCTCGAGTCGCCCGGCGTAGTGGTGTCATTGGTGTGTGCTTGGAGCATGGGAGGGCTCGAAGCTTGGGCTGCCACCGGAGGGCCCGGTCTTTCGTTAAAGCCAGTAGGGCGCCCCGCACCTACAGGTCCTGGTCGTTTTTTGAATGAGCGACCGAGGAGTGTTCCGCATCGACGTGAGCGACGACGGGAGCTGGCGCGCGGCACTTCGCCGCGCGGCGACCTTTCTTCCCACAGCGGAAGCAAATGAGCGAACGATTGCTGCGCCCAGCGTTACCGCGGTAGGACCCGCGACGTCGATCGCTCGACGCGTTGATGGCGTCGATCTCCATGGACTCGGGGGTAGACTCTCGGGCTTCCGCAGGTATGGCTGCGGCGTACGATGCGGCGACGATGTAATCCTCGTGAATCGCGAGTGCAAATGCCTCCTCGAGAGATGAGGTCTCAGCTCTGGTGAGGCAGTAGCGGGTCATACCCTCGCGCATGCCGAACACAAATACGTGGACTTGCGAGGCCATGTCGATTGGATTGGTCACGATGCATGACGCCAGATGTCGCGTCTTCTGGACGTAATCACGCATGGACATCTGCCCTTGCCGAAGAGCGAAGAGCTCTGCACGAACGCGAGACTCATCTTGCGGGGGCTTGAACGCGAGGCGCAAGTCGCTCTGGAGAGTTTTCAGATTCGGGAAAGCCTCGGGGTCGACAACCAGCTTCCCAAGGGCCCATTCTTTGGCCTTCCCGGCTAACCGGGAGAGGAGGAAGTTCATCTTGGCGGATGACGCCTCGATGTGTCGCGCGGCGATAGCGATGTCGATCTCGCGGAACCACCGGTTTAGCGGGAGCTGGTTTTCACCGGCGCCAGAATACGTAGACGTCTCCATCTTGACGACGTCATTCTGGGATGGACGCGAGGGAGTTGACACCCGCCGATTCGCATCGGCGAGCTCGCGTTCCATGAACTCTTGTGCTGCAAGACGTTGCTGGTCGGGCGTCGCTGAGCTCAGCAGCGATGCGACAACGGCATCTCCGGACACCGCAACGAGGCGGTGAAGCGCTTCCCACTCCACGCGAGTGAGATGGGGGAATGCAGCATGCTCCAGGGTTGCCCCGGAGATCTGGACTTGGCTCATCGTAGACTTGGTCGTTGGAAGGACTACTAAGTGCTACCAGGTGTAACGGGGTAAGAGATACCGTCACTAGCTTACACTATAGTGTGGAGGAAGCGCGCAATAGTAAAACCAAGTCTTAGGTTTGTGTCAAATTCAACTCTGATTTATTTAGGACCAGGGCGGCTACCCCTGGCCTCATGTGAGCCACTCAAACACATGTATATACCTGATTGGTCAATAAGTAAGTCTGGCTACTCACTATCAACCAATCAGATGATGACACCTTGGCACACGCTACCCGTGTCTACTTATGTAATAACTAAGGAAATATCTACCTACTTATGCAATTGGAGCTGGGCCCATTACAGCGACGGGATCGTTCTGATGCACTCTGTCGCGTCTCTGGATAAGGAGGCGTGGAGCTGGCGGTGGCTGACGAGGTGGTGCTTGCTGTGACGAGGGGAGATAAATATATGTAGCGCAGCCCCCCCCCCCCCAACGTCTCGCAAACATCAGCAATTCCCTTTAGTCTAGGATTCATGCGTATTAGCTCATTCATGTACACCCTTCTGCTTGAATAAAGAACGCCTGATATGTTTAGGATTTTTAAGGTTATAACGAGGTCGACTTCGAGAACCTCGGCGCCACAGCCAAAAAATATTATATATTTAATTAGTAAGGTCTGATTTACTGAGTAGGTCAGAGGGAAGCCAGCAGTGTTCTATCGTCTTCGACAAGAACCTCCGCCACGCATTCGCGCTCCATTGCACTCCGATCTGTACCCCCACTTTGTATTGATTGTCATCAGAGCCATTACCTATCTACTCTAGTGCGAAGTCCATTTTCTTGTTCAGGACGGAACGCTTTTCGCAATAAATAATGCCTTGATCAAGAGGCTGTAGATCAGAGGTAGTGTTCGGATGGCAACTTGAAACGCGGACATTGGCCAGATTAATACCGTCTTCACAGTGTGTAGATACGTTGTCGACGAGGAGCAGAATCCGTCTACTTTTAGCACGCATAGACTTGTCGAGCTCCTCTAAACACGTATGATAAACGTCAGTTGTCATCCACGCCTTACCAGTGGCCCGGTAGTCGACGTCGCTTTATTTATCCTTGATCCAGCGAGGCTTCGCAGCTTTCCCGATGAACAGAAGCAAGTGCTTGTCACTCCATGTTGCGTTGCAGCAGAGCGCAAGGGGGGGGGTCAGAATTGAGTTGTTTTCCGACATTTTCCTGTCGAAATGGCTACCATTTCTTTTCTGATCAGCAATTATTTACATTTTTGATATTGATTCACCTAAACAGGTAAACCATTTCAGAAATGGTATGAGATGGTCGAACATTTTCGACTGACCATCACTCTGTTAATCCCTATCGAACCTTCAACTTCTATGTGCTGCCACCTCCTCCCTTTCATGCGACTAGCACACGTTCGGGGCCTTTGTATCACTCACAATATCTCTAAACGTGAGTACAAGATGCTGCTTGCGCTCCGACGCACGGTGGTGCTCAATGATACCACGCCGATCCCCTAAACTGGCAGAAAGGTACAACGCACAGGCCCTCAGATGTGTAACGGGCAAGTTACGCGGCCAATGACCCAAACAAACGCTTGCAGACGCTAACGGCAAACATGGATAAGTGCCAAAGGCACTACTACACTCTTCAATATGTAACCCCATTCAAGGTACCCAGTATACTGTATTACAATATTTTTTTGAATGGCATACTAACCGACTTTTGAACTGGTGCTACAGGGTGTTTTAGTGCTTTTAAGGCCAAGATCAAGGCCGACCTTGCCTTGCCCCGTAAAGGGCTGGTTGTGGAGCATCCTCGCGGGACGGTTGCGGCTGCTCGGATGGAGAAACTGGAACGCGCGGCGAGACGCCGCATCGGATGTATCGACACGCACCTTGCTAACAGGTTGACACTGCATTGCCAGCATTCCGTTGCTGCCGCGGAGCGCATGGAAGACATGCAGTACGGCACCTAGCTGCAGCTCAGCCTGAGGGGACCACTTTGCTCTGCGTTTTCGCCACTTTGAATTTCCTTTTTAGTGCTACTTTTTCGTAATCAAATTTTTGTTTACATTTTTTTAAAAAGATCCGGTTTGAAGTGGAGTAGCACCATCTTGGCCTGGCAAAGGTGTAGATGCTTTGCAAACAACGGAACACGTGCGCAGCGTCTTCCGCTGACTTAAGCGTAGTGATTGTTCGGAGGTAATCGAAACACATTTCGCAAACTATAAAGATATTAAAAGCGAGCTCCGAGGATTGAAAAGCTCCTCGAAATTATTTTCCATGCGCATCTTTATTTAGTGCTGAGTGAATATCAACTAGATTTCCTTAAGCGACCCCAGTAGGGTCTTCTCGCCGTCCGAAGACTTTGCGTCCACTGTGGTCTGCGTGGTTTCCGAGCCTGCCATGTGCTCAGTGTCATCGTGGACATCATCGAGGGATTCCCAGTCTGCATACTCAACCCTTTCTGGGAACGATTGAATTCTAGCTAAATCGTTAGGCTTGACAAATCACAGTCTGTATCCTCCAAAAGCTCGTGGGTGTTGGTATAAAGATAAGTCAGCAGCTCGGTTTTCTTGGTTTGCAAGGCGAGATGGAAAATTAACCGCGGGGATCAAGTACTGGCATACAGCTTGGTCGTACGAAACCTCAGCCGTAGTGTTAGATCTGACTACAACGCCGTCTGCTTCAACCTGGTCGGGTTGAGTGTGTCAACTCAGCCGGATAAACTGTTGCTTTACCGCATTTGAAGTACGTTCACAGCGACCGATATGCGGTGTGATGTTTATACTTGGTTGGCCGTTGCGCAACATCAAGTCACAATAGATACAGTCCGCGTGCGGATGTGGACTACCGGTTTGCTTGCGAAAGTGCTGCCAAATCAACCCCACGGACGTCCGGGTCGGAGTAGGGTCGTCGGCAGGACCGGAAGAGTGCCAGCTTGACCGATAACGTTAAATGGCGTGGGTGGTAGGTGTTGTACCCTGTAAGCGCGGGGAACGACGTAGTGGCGTAGCCACTCGACTCTGGATGCGAGGTGAGCGTCGTGGTGGCGTAGCAGCTTGGCTCCGGACGCGAGGCGAGTGTCGTGGCGGCATAGGCGCTTGGATCCGAATGTGAGGCGAGCGGGACACACGTCGCGTCCGCAGACGGTACGACATCGCTGGCTCACGTGAAAAATCTGGGAGTAGGCTGTCAGACACTTGGCGTGGATTGCTTGTTGTCTGGTGACATCGCTAAGCATCCTCCGAAATGTCTGAGTTGATAAATATAGGACCCTCTAATCCAGCAGCTTCATGAAAGCAAGCATTTTGGAGGGGTTTGAGTAATTCGGATGGTTTTGAGCATTCGGAGGTGTTTTGAGTAATTCGAAGGCGTTTTGAGTGCTCAAATCGTTTTTACGTTATTAATATTAACACTTTTAACACTAGAAACTCCGAACCATCACTACTCTGATGGCTTTTCGTAGCAGGCCGAAGAATTGAATGAAAATGGTCATCGATTTCATTTCTGCCCGGTGTCAATATTTTGGGAGATGTCTTTTTTTCCTATGGCATTAAGAAATCAACAGCTTTGTTCCTTGCAATTTACATTTCGAAGTCTTCATTACGTAGGCGAGGTAACAGAGAGTCGCTCCGAGAGAAGCGTAATGCCAAGAACGTTCTGGACGCTCAGCAGTACCAACATGGCAGCAGTGTAACTAACAACATTAGCGTAATGCTGAGTGGAATGCACTTTGTGGCTGAAGCCTTCAGCCACCGACAGCGACACGCAGAACAAAAGAAAAAGTGGCGCCAAGCTCAGATAATGACCTCGGTACGCAGATCGCTGGCTTCAAATCGCGGTCATTTTGGACATAAGGTGGCAACCCTGGAAGTGGACTCGGTTTCGAAGAAGGTTAGACGCAACTGGGTCAGTATACGACCAAGCGTGGGTTTCACACACAAGTTTACGATGGGGGTCGTGATTCTGAACAAGCAGCGGCTCTTCGTGGAGACCGGGCTTGTGGCCGGCTCGCAAACAAATCGCTCTATCCAACTGCACGGTCATGTCAGCCAGGGGTCACGTCCAAGTTGAGCGCATTACTTCAAGGTTTTGCTAAGGACCTATAGGCCTATGGTGGCAGCATTCTGTCGGTCTACCACAGCCAACTGGTACTTCGCTTTGTTCGAGGGCATAAGTTCAAGGAGCTCTTGCAGCCGAGATGTACGGTCCTTAAGAAGCTCGTGTACTACGTAAGCAAGGAAAGAGATTATTTTCAATACAAAAAAAGATTGAATTCAACACCTCTAAAAAAAGGATGCTTTTCAATAGCTAGAAGGTAATATTGATGTACTCTGTCCCGTTTATTTATATTACAGCTGTGTGTGTTACAACATATTGATATTTTTAGACATCCTGGTATGACACGAGACGGCGCATTCGCCAACAGACGCTGAACCGCAGTCATGAGCGACGATGGACAAGATCCAGAGGTCTCGCCGCCTGAGGGTGATTCTTCTAACGTCGCACATAGTTCATTCCGGTTTATCTCAACCCATTTTACAGAAGATGCTGCTGTTACAGCGCTACACAGTGCTGATACATCTGAATACAGCCATCTACGCACGTATGGGCCGACAGAACGTCGCAAGAGTGTCTACACTTGCATTTCGCATGAGGCGTGTTCTCGTCGGCTACGGATCGTTAAGATTTCAGAGCTCAACTCTTCTCATTCCATAACGACTTCTTCATACGAAGTAGAATCTAGTGGTACCCATAGCCAGTTGCTAACGCACCGAAAGAGGTCTGGTATTGACATGCAGATAAAACCAGAGGTAGATAGCATTCTTCAAGGTGGAGCAGGTCTAAAACGATGCGTACTTCTACTACAGAAGAAATATAAACTTGACCCAACCATGCTAGCCAAGATTCCAGGCGAAATCAAACTGAAGAACAGAAAAGCCAGTCTGAAGAAGAAACTAAAAAACAATTGGGATATTTCAAGTTTTTCAGTTCTGATGGAGTGGGCCCACCTGCACATGTGTTATTTTCACATCGCGACGTCTTTTTCGAAATCTGTACCGATGTATTTGTGATCAAAGAGAGACCGGTCTCGTTGGGGTTACCGCATCGATTTCAGTAAGTGCTATTACTAAATAATTACAAAATATTTATTACAGCTGCTAACCCATGTACATTATTCACGTTTATTAAAGATCGCTGGACTCTGGTAGCACTCGGCAGTTCTTGCTCTGTGTATGAAAGAAAACGTTACCGACATTCATTTGTACCTTGGATGTACATGTTTGTGCGTACGGAGCCTGAATCTGCCTACAAAACGTTATTCTCTACAGCTAAGCGATTCGTCGCTGATTACTTCAACGATTCTTTGGTTTTAAAGTACGGAAGCCAAGATCATGCTTCCTACATTGCTACAGCTTTTTCCTCCATCTGGCCTGGTATCAAAATACTTAATTGTTATCCACACCTTTTCAGAAAAGCGTTCGAAAAAGCTGGCCTATTGAATGACTCTGGATTCTACAGTTCTTACGTCGAGATGAATATATACCTCCTCGAGCGAGCGCGTATCGAAGAACAATTTACGGCAATGGCTGAGCGTATAGCTAAATATTGGAGCGACAAAAGCGAACAAGCGTACGCGGATTGGTTCAAAAACCAGTATTTGGGCGCTCTATGGGGTACATGGTTTGCTACTTCTGCTGTGCCTGGTGTTTTGCCGTCACAAAACCCCATCGAATCCCACAACAAAGTGATAAAAACGGTGTGCACTCCGCAGCTACATGCAGCGACCTCAGTCGTTTTGAATGACACTCTCCCAGCGATCCTTTTGCTGAACAGTGACAAAAAGATATCCCGATACGGTCATTTCTGCGAAGGTAATATTTAACTTTTTCATCGTAATATGTTTGACTAAATTAAAAATTGTTTTAGGTCCTGTTCCCAGCGAAATGGTTGAACACGCACGAGTGTTTTTTCGTGAAAAAAATCATAGGAAGCAATACCTCATCTTGGATTCCCCAACAAAACTGAGCTCCATTGTTTTCAATACTTGGGAATACGCTGTTTACCCTAAAAACCAGTGTGGAGTGGAAGTCACCGATGCCCGAGTCTCCAGGTTTTTTTTTCATCATTTATCCAACTTAATATATCAGCATAACTTTCAATGTTTGTATGTCATACAGATATCTCGACTCGAAAAAAGGAAAACTACGGAAAAGGTCCAAAGTTCCTGAATTTAATCTCCATTTTGCCTCATTGCACGAGGTTTTAGTACATCCTGATGCACCTACTTCAGACTTTCAGCTGATCTTGACCCCTACAGTACCGTCGGATCAGGTAACATTGTGTAAAATGTTGAGATGCAAAAAATAATTTTAACAATTTATCCTTACAGATTCTGGCTGTTCGGTCACGATATCGCTGTGATTGTAAGGGGTTTTGGACTACTGGCTGGGTTTGCAGTCATGTTATTGCAACACTTGCCCTAATGAAGCAATATGACCTGCAAACAGCAACCGCTCACATGCCTGTTCGGAAACAGAGTGGGGGTCAGCGAAAAAAAACAAATTGTCTGAGCAAGGACGACTCTAGATACTTCGAAGTTGGAAAACTGGAAAAACAATTCGTTCAAAAACCACCCTTTCCAATTGGGTGGAACGTGACCAAACAACTTCCAGTTGAAGACACCGAAGGAAAAATCACGTTGAGAAATGTACCTGGCCGAGTTGTGGATTGGCAAAATTGTATTGGGCCAAGAGGTGTCTATAACTGGGCGGTTGAGTTCAACAATGGTGCTAGGGAATTGCTGGAAGTGGATCAATTGGCTGCGCTGATTAACAAGTGCCACCACGAAGGGCTAAACGTTACAGCGCGTCTTTTCTAGTCGAAGCGTGACTCACGACATCGTGGTGATAACCATAGTAGTTCTAATACCACATGCTTTGCATAATACATACAGAAGTATCGATTTCCATCCAATGGAAATTGTATTGAAAAGCATCCGATTTGGTATAGCAGATAAGCCGCACCCCGTAAGCAAAGAGATGCATGGCTACGTGTGACCGGAGATTAAGATCAAGGAGATGCAAAGCAATCGGCATCGACGTGTGACGGTGGTGAGAGGACGATAAGTGCGAAGGAGACATGGCACGCGTGTAGAAATATAGTGGATGCTGCATTTCGCTTTTGGAATCAACAATGACTGTCAATTTCTTTGTTTCAGTGCTATTAACTATTGATCCATAATCCCTTTTGCTCTTTTCCAGCGCGAACACTGGATGCAGCGACTATGAAGGTGCGAAAGACAGACCGAACGATAATGACAAGCAGAGTGCTGCGATCTCCAGTACTGTGTTGCGTCCCGGCGCGACTTCATTCGAGATGATGGTATCTGTCAAAATGGCCGTATATGTCGTGTACTATCATATTATCGATTCAGATCACGCAAAGACAAAAAAAACGTAAAGAATGCTTGCATGTACACTGCCATTATGCCAATAAAGCAGCTTTCCGCTCATTCATCTTGGGCTGTTCTTGCGTGTGTGTATGACTGCTGTCTTTCCCTATGTACCGTACAAGACATAATAGTATTATGTTGGATTTCCAGGTTCAGTGCGAACTGCGCTATTACATGTTTTGCTGAGCTGTTGTGTGGGGTGTACATGCATCTAGGAAAGCCAAGCGCTCAGAGTAACAAGAGCAAAACGATACAGGGCAACGTGAAACCAGGTATGGTTGCTATATGCGTAAGGGTTGCTTTATTCATCATCTTATAAGCTCACATTTTTGCTTGTTGCTAGATTCGAAGGCTACTAAAACATTGCTGAAGCGCACTTCACCTCATATGCCAATAAAGTCTTCTCTGGTTAAGCGGAAAAGGCAGGAAACACCAGTGCAATCAAGTGGCGAATATTCGCCAAGAAAACGCGTGAGCAAGCACCTCACAGAGCTACAATCAATGAACTCAGGTGAAAATAAGATCCTGAATACAGTTCCAGCGTTTGGGCCGGCCAAGATGATTAATTCTTGGGAGGAATTTGAGAAGATCTTCGATGCATACAAGAAGAAGTACAAGCTCAAGTTTCGGGTGCGGAGCTCAGAAAAGACGGCTCTTTACAACAGGTAAGTTTTGCTCTTAGCTTTGGCTGTATATCCAGACTAAAAGGTGGTTATTGTATCTGTAGCACCCATGAAGATCATATACCTACCGAGTTCGAGTGGTTTCAGAGGATTTACCGCTGC